CCTATCCCTATCCATTCACTGAATTTGTAGCACTAGTTAGACAAAAATAGTGGAATTAAGAACAGGCATATGGTGTCTTCCATCAAACCATTCACCTACCTGCCCCGGTAATTTGCTTGGCTTACAATGACGAATTGGGTGTTATTTGCACTCGAGGCCGCCCACATCATATATAAGCGGGCACACATGAACTTGAGCTCGGGCTTTGGCTGATGCAGTAAATTCTCTCTGTTCGAGGTCTCATAGTGTCTAGTAGTGATGTTGCGAGGCGCTGACTCACCCGTATTTTTTTCTGAGTGCTAGTGTTGGAAGATTATCACGTGCTAACAAAGAGGGTTCGGTCAACAGTGCCCGGAGTCTGCATCTGCGTAACGGGAACCGCAACAACGGAGCACAAAATTTATCTCTTCGGATGAAATCAATGTCTCTTTCTCACATCTATCTTACATTCTGCCGTATTTCCACCTTACTGTGCATCCCCTTTTGACCAATACCAGTGAATCTCCGTCCGATCTGCCAATCCCAGATAATGATTATCAAACGTTCATTGTGTCCCATCTTAAACAACAAAAATATTCGTGACATGTTGTCTTGACTGTGTTTTCGTGACAAACTCAGGCACGTTCGTTCGTGTTGCCGACCGACACCCACGCCAGAGAATTCGTCATTATTGCTTTTCGTTCATTACCTCTAGCTGATCATGTGTAAGGGCAACTTAATTGCATTTAGTGTGAATGAGAGCGTATTCATTCCGTCATCTGGACATTCCGCTATTTCGATCATCCATCTATCCTCCTTCTGGAGTTAACCCCAGTTATTCATACCTCAAGCACTTACCCGATCGAGACCAAAAACCTGACAGTTGGTGAGCATCACCACATCGCCTGGCTATCAATTTGAGAGCTCCTGTAGCATGCTGACGTGTTGAAAGGTGTCATAAATGTTCAAGATGCTGATGAGCGAATGAAAGAGGCGAACTTCTCACTCGGTATTAGGAATTCACTTCAACACT